TTTCAATGGCCTCGCGTAGATAGGATAGATTCTAATCTGTTGGAACTTTGTGTTTGTAGGTTTCATTCCGAATGAGCACATGAATTTATGAATAATAAATAACATGCCATTATTATGATATTTCACTGCTCAACTACCGCAAATATTTACGCAAACATTCCATTCATCCCATCTGCTGATGTTTACTCACCAACCCCATCACACCTCCAAACCGTCCGATTCGTCAAATTATTCTCACGCATCCGAATTGTATTTATGTCCTCATGATGGAATATTTATCATCACAGAAGTAGCTGACTGCTTGAACGAAATCAACATAAAAAGTTGACTGCCTTGGCATGATTATCAGTTATATTCAGTGATGCATGAGCACTTTCAACAGTTATTGAAAAATTAATTCATTTTACCATTCACATTCCTATTAGATAAAATAAATAAAAGCGATCAAAACGAAAAGATCATTGATGAAAGTTAAGCGACGTTATTAGTGTTATTAGGATGAGATTCATTCAGAATGGTGGAATGGGATGCATTAATGATAATATTGTTGACATGTTCAGTTTGCAGGTAGACTGATATAACTAAAGGTATTAAGAGCAGGACGGATACAATGATGAAGCATAAATAGGGAAGTGATATCATCAGGGTTTGTGGATAGACCGAAGTGAATATCGTTGAGCCACATAATGAGACGATGCCATCGATCAAACTCATCATCGAGAAGATTTTACCTGTAAACAGTGAAGATATTATTGATGTGTTAACTAATGAATTGAGGTGATTATGTGGATGAGAGGATTATTATACGAAGGAGAAACGGAGAATTTTGACGATGTTATGAAGAATAGATGAGCTTTGCGATTAAATGCTCGTTGTTTGATACTCTATTAACATTTCTTACAAAATTAATCACCACCGTTTTCGAAATGCTTGTTCATCGCAAAGAAGCGAGCGATTGGTTCGATGGTTGCGACAAATTATTGAAAACGAATTTGTTGTTTGCTCAATCGCTTTTTTGATTTTATTCTGATGTATCGCTCAAGATTAGCAGTTTACTGGAGGGGACAGAGGAGTGGAGAGCAGAATGGTGTTCATATAGGTTATTAGATATTGGACGAAGGGGCCAGGGGGGGGGGTATATGGCGACGATCAGCCACGCGGTCAAAAGAGGTAGGGATGTGTGGAGCTCGTCGGTGTAAGTTGAAGCGGAATGATAAATGCTATGATAAAATTTTCCACCTTGTTCCACAACGTCAACAGTCTGTGAGGCGCAAGCACGAATTGAGGTAGCGATGAAACGATTCAACGCAGACAGCGGTGTGGTCAGATATGCATACCAGTCGATGAATACAAACGCGAGTGCTACCAAACTGATTATCTTGGTGATCAATGCTACTGAACACAGTAACATGTCTTTGATTCCTCGACTTTTCATCAGTGGATATATCGAAAGTACCTTAATTTACCTTTATCATTATCCAATTTATACTGTTTGATGTCGTTATGATTGTGGCTGATATAGATTGATTCATAATATTGAACCTATATTTATAATATTGGATATTTTATACTGATTTATTAATGTTGATTGGTTGTATTGGATTTGGATTTATGGATATATTGATTTAATTTATACTGATTGCAGTGATACTGATTTATATATGAGATCGATGATAAGAAACATCGAAATGTAAACGAGTGTACATTATGTTGATAATGGATTATTTCATTTTTCGGTTTCATAACCAGACAGATTGTAAATTGATAAACCAAAAAAAATTTATGATTATTTTTTGGTTTATGAATTTACAATTTGACTTATCAATTCACAATTTGGTTTACCAATTTACAATTTGGCTTATCAATTTTTATCCAACAATACGAATAAAGTATCAAAAAACGTACAGCGAGGGTGCTGAATGCATAACCTAAGCCCTTATACCATCCGTACTGTTTGTCGTTCCAGTTCAGTTTATAACGTAAAAACGAATATTGAATGGCATTCACTCCTGAAATTTTTTGCATTGATTGGTTTGATTACGATTGTTGTGGAACATTTTAAGATATCACTTCCAAAAAAAAATAAAATCAACCTGAAAAAGAGAGAATCTCAACTGCAAAAGCTGTTAAAATAAGCCAAAGAATAGGCCGCGATGGTCTCGAATCGGTCAGAACTTTATAGACGTCGATCAAACGGTGATATGTGGTACGCAGCAAACGGATGAGTAAACCTGAAATCGAAATTTATTCAATATCAATGTGATAAGAATAATAATGATGATAGTAGTGATTAGGTTGATGATAACAACTGAACATTACAGTGTTTGCTTCGTGAAAGTTGTTGTTGCAGTTTGTCGGGTTTGATCTCGTGAACGATTGCGACTACATAGACAAAACAAAGCACTCGTAATGCCAGCAGCAATACGAATGTCATTGAATATCCCAAACATCTGAAGTATTAATCGGTAAGTTCATTGTAAAGGTTGCGCTCGTAGAATGGCAAGTACTGAATATAGATAATGTTGTCGAATAATTAAAAAAGTCAGGTAAAATGAATGAAATTGTCGAACTCTCTGATAATGCCCGAGAGTGCGAAGCCGAGAGTGGCTCCGATGCCAATAGAGCCCTCGAGAATGGCCATTCGCCGACCACGGTGAACGCTGTCTGTCTGTTTCATACTGCACGAAAACATCATTCCTGAATTTGTGTCTTCTTCAGGATCATTCAATCGATTCTCGGTNACGAACCCATTAAAGTAGCATATCCACCAGTAAATCCCGAGAAAATGTCCGATAGCAATAACCAACGAGGATTCATCCAGAAATAAGTCGACTGAATAATATAGTTCACATCGCCAGCTATCACACCCAACAGTGGGATTAATATCGGGATTTTGGCACTCCATATATCACTTACTGAAATTGAATTCGTGATACAAATTGAATAACGCTACAAGGATAATGTTGAAATGAAAAATAGATTGAAGCGAAATGAAACGAACACGATCCAAGAAGAAGGGCAGTCGGGATCGAAGGTAATAGTAAGCAAAGAGATGAAAACAACATAAGTCTTTGTTCATCGCCTTGTAACTGCTTATCTTTATAGATTGCTGATGCATTAGCACACAATGCCGGATCCTTTAATCAGGTGGAATATAACTGACAGATCATTTGGTTAGTTTTAGTGATCATCAATTATGTTCGAAATGAACTAACATTATATCTGGTGATGCAGGATTTATCATAGAGAAGAGCTTGAAATACGGGATACTTTATGAATGCGGTGAATATATAGAGTGCTAGAGCTGGTTCCACACTAACACTTTTAACGAATCTGAGCACCGAGTTGGATGTAACATTGCAGCGCATTGTCATGATTACTTTTGTTTATAATTTATTAAAGGAGAGATTCAACTATGACTGCATTCATCGACTTTCGATCAGCAAATCAGTCCGAGGTCATCACTGTAATTAAGGATTTAAAAATTAATCTCGATTAAAATCAACTACAAAAACGACAGCATTCAACAGTAATGATAAGCTTTTTATTGCATTATTGTTTAGTGAATATCAGAGTAAATGAAATTAATCTACAGTAAGTGAAGGCAATCCTACCAAACGTTTATATCCGTTTATATCGGAACAGATATGAGATCAAGTCATCTCACGTTCCATTCCTGAACATTTAGCCCCTTGTTAATGATATACACAAATAATGCAAATATATCTATGAACACATTGAAAATGAGCAAATATTATACATGTCACGAGCGGTTATACAAAATCGAATGAAAAACTAACTGCTGATCATAATGTGGATGATAGTGATCAGAATGCAATCGTCAATCTATTGAATATATTATAAATCGTATTTGCATAACCTATTATTTGTACATTTAGCAGTAATACTAACAATACATGCAACAAAACTAACATAGAATTATTGCTCATTGAACAAGTACCTCTCAATCAGAAACTAACTTAACAACGAAAACTGAACCAGATTCTATGAATATATTATCTGAAACACAATAAATATATTTTCTGAAAACTAGACTTACAAAGAAGTGTTCAAGAATATGAGCTGAGAATGGCATTAAGGTGGCAGTATTGCAACGATCATATACTATGATATCAATCAAAGTTTTTGATTGATGATAAGAAGTGGGAATGTAGATGGTAGCATTATGTGAAAAGACAACGTTTTAAATATTACTGACATACTGAACAATATTTTTCATGAATTTTTCTAGTGAATACAATAATATTGAAGAATGCACGTTATCACCTTTCGTAGCATTTTTTTGATATATTAATGAGAATTGAATGAAACGATCGAATGATGTAGGAATAGTGTGATTTGAAAGAGATTTGCAATTGGACAATCATAACACTACATCGGCGGTTCTCAACCGTTTTTTCCCTCCCACACCCCTTAGAAAATTTTAAGATGTCCTAGTACTCCCTACAGCAACAGTTAAAATGTCCCCGCATCCCTGACCACATCCACTTTGAATCTCTTATCCGCTACAGTGAATGTCTGTAGTGTAGATAACTGTATATCATTTGAGTACGTTCTGGCCTTTTCAAAAATACATACGTTACAGTCCATCCTCGTCTACTTCAACATACAAAAAATAAAACATTATCTTGGTACCCCTGGGATACCATCTCACCTCTGTTGGGGCTGCGAACACACCCGCTTGAGAAATCCTGCTCTTCATAAACGATCGAATACGCGATCAAAAATAAGTGAACGATGTGAAAANGCATCGAAACAAGTTTATGACATCGGTTTGGAAGTGATTTATTTCATGTTGTTGGAAGTCAGTGCTTGATTAAAAATTTATATATCTGAACCTTTTCTTGGCCATCACCCTCTTGGGCACACACCTGTTTGACTGCGCTTTCTCTGTCGAATCGAATGTCAAATATCATATTCGGACAACAAACACATGATAAGTGCATTTGATGTGTATGATTCGATCATATTATTGCAAACGTTTTGGAATAATGAAAATGGGCACTTTTGGGAACAATTGTATCAAGTCGTTTATATTGGTTCAAGCAAAAAAGACGCAAACACTTTATGGGACTGGTCTAATCCTGGAAGAAGAACGTAAAAATAAAATGACGATAATTAGAGTGAAATATAGCGGCCTTAGGCCTGGGTTGAGGCTCATATTGAGTAACCATCTAAAAAAGTTTTTATTGGACACCTCAATCTGCTATGAGCCCCATCCTAAGCTTAAGCGCAATTCTTAAGCGCGTATTTCTTTATGGTAATAATTACTTTGCACAATATAATTTCAAACACGTCGGTAGATATTTGTAATTGGATTTATCTATAAGCGTAATGCTGTGATACGTCTGACTACGTGATAACCGAGGATAACAATTTCAATTGAATTTCCAAGCCAGTGAGATTGCTAACTCAGAAAATTGCGGTGGTCAAGACTGATTGATAGAGCAAGAAATTAGTGCATTGGGTCGTGAAGTTTGCTCAGAATCGATGCGACCAGTATTCAAATGATTTCGAATTGACCGTTCAAATGATTATAACCAGTTGAGTGCCGAGGGTTAATTTTTGAGATGTAGTTGTTATGGATTAGCCATGTGCTTGAGTTTTTCCATTAAAAATATTGTTTTATCTTACGGAAAAGAGCTAATGATCGAATTCGGCTGACAGACGACTTCAATATGGAAAATTAAAGCGTTAAGGGTTAACAATCGAGGAAATGCATACTGTTTCCAGAGCTCAGGACCTGTCGTGTTCGATAAAATTAGTGGCTGATAACAGCTGTACAGTAGGAGTTATTTTGGATTAACGAATGTGATCGCTTGAATGTGGGCTAGATTGTGTTTGAGAAGACAACTACAATGACTAATTATTCATTTATTAACACAAACATGAAGTGAGGTAAAAAAAAAACGTGCAAATAGTGAAATGAACATGATAAAAATGCACAAATACACTCATCTAATTACAATTCAAGTGAATGGCGATTATAATGATACTAGAACGCATCATGAGAATAGCAGCATATCCAATTACATAGTACACCCTTATCATTTTCGCTGTTCAATTTCAATTCACATCATCTCTTGTTTTTTTGTTTTGTTTTTTTTGATGAAATGAAGTTGTTTGACCAGATAAGACTTTTTTGATTGAAGCATTCATTATCACTGGAAATAATCGATTAGCAATGAACGACTTAAATATAACTTTTATTTTGCGATGTGATCAACCGTTCTGATGATATCGCAGTGAGTGGTCGGATTTTGTGATCTGAGGCAGAGAACAACAGGGAGAATGAACTGAGATTAAATGGATAGTAAGGAATTTCAGATGGTATGAACATGATCGCAATATTGATAGGAGATAGTGATTATTGTTGATCAGTTGAAGTGATTTTTGGTTTTATTCGGATTTGAATCGGATATTTTTGAGGATTGATGAGGAGCACTGTTTATTGTGTGTTTAAATCGTTCAATTAAACTAGTATTATGCTTGTCGTCGGGTTGCAAGTGGGGCGCGTAAACGATGGCAATCGACGATCGCTTTTCAGTGTCGGTGCATGCACTCTTATCATCAATCTTCTGCTTATCAGTGCTATCAGCTGGATATGAACATGAAGCTCTTTTATTCACAATACACTCTTCTTGCTTGCATGTTTCTGGTAGTACGTTGAGCATAATTTGAGCGAATTTTGTCAATATGTCTGAAATTTTATTAGTGTTGCAATATTGTTGATATGCTTGGATATGTTGTTAGATTGAAGATTACACTGAAAAGTTGTTGACGCAATTATACAGTTGAGTGAAGGATGAGATGAGAATGTAAAAGAATGTGATATAATAGATGGATACCATTGGTTGTTTTGGTGACACGTTGGTAAAGTTTGATTGAAGGTAGCGATTTTTGATAGATGAATATCAAGAAGATAATCACTCCACCGAAAAACGCCGCAAATGCGATACAACATTCCAACCATTTTTTGGTGGTTTGAACGACGATCTGAATTCATAACGATAATGCTGTGAGCTGTCAGTTGCTAGTGATTGATCAGTTAAATGGATGAACGAAATGCATACTTGAACCGACTGATCAACTGTCCGTTCAGATCAGCTATCGACTGATCAACTGTTGATTAGAGTGATATTAGATGTTAAGTAGTGAAGTGTTAATAGAAAATGATAATCATAGTAATCACCAGTCCGAAACAGAGGATAGCGAAGAGAATGGGTAGGACGATTGGATATCGAACGGCTTCCGCATGAACAGGTATGTGCCTGACACGAATCCACAACAGCACGTACATAGTGCATACACGTTGTAGCGCTTGTGCAAAACTAGCCACATCTATCAACATATCAATGTCACCTGCGAACGACATCGCCATCGATAAGAGAATCTAAATTTGGTTTGATTCATTTGCATTCAGTGATAATCTCAATGATAAGTGATCAGCGATAACAGCGAACCGATCAGAGCTGATGGTGTAAACTTACACAAACGATTAACGCCGCACGTGGACTATCATTTTCATAATTCGTACAACGAATGAAATTCGGTAAATGCCCTTGACGGGCAGCAGCATACAAATACCTGCAATGTTTGAGTTTAGTCAGATTTTATTTCAAGTTTCGTATTGATGCTAAGATGTGAATTCAGAACCGAAAGAGTGCACATACCGACTAGCAGAGAAGATAGAACCGTTCACAGAGCCAATCAAAACAATACAGATCAAGAAGGGGATCGCGTACTGGAAACGACCGAGTGTTTGCTGGCCAAACGTCTGAAACGGGTTCACTTATGGACATCGACGTGCATTCGTCAAATCGAAATGAAACGCATCAACGAACCGTAGCGACTGTAACGGACGAAATGAGTTCGTATTTGTCGAGAACGACGAAAAACGACAGATTCATTGCGAGATATATGACTGTCGCTCCAACTAGACCGAAGAAGATCGCGACGGGCATCGTTCTCGAAAGAACGAATTATTTTATTTCAGTGATAAATAAGCATTTCATCGATAAGACTTTTCTCATTTGAATATTTTTTATGGAAATAAGATGAGCACAGACTAAAATAATATATATGAACCTTCTAGGCTTTTCAATTTCTTCGACTCCGTAATTGAGCACATCCCATCCATCAAAAGAATAGAATGCTTGAAATATTGCTGGTACAACCACGGAGACTTTTGACGCGGCTCCTTCGAAGGGGTGTGACAGATTGTCGGTTTCACCTGAAATTACTTATCGTTAGACATTATTCTAATATATCGCAATTTAATTTCAAACTGTTGGATCTGAGATAGATTTATAATGGCATTTTGCTCTTGCGCGAAAAGATTGATCATTTGGATTGTTATTCTGTAAGAAGATGGCGAATAGAGACGGAAAGATGTCTTATCGTTAGAGCGATTTTGAGAAAAGATCAAATTGTTACTGCTATGACCTTTAAAGAAGAGATAATAGAATCCGACGATGATCACCACCATAGTGATCAATATCTTGGAGATAGTGGCTGCGATTTGGAATCGGGATACGAATGTTTTGAGTGAGAAGAAGTTGACGAACATTAACAGCCCTGAATACTGAATAACTCATAATGGAACTTGGTGGTTGTTGATGATGAAAGGTATTATGATTAACTGCATAAAGAGGATAACAAATATCGTAGATATAAGGAATAATACCTTAATGGATTCAAAGTAAATATATCAAATAATACTTACAAATCAAAGCGAACGCAATTAATTTTTTTGCAATATAAGCATGAGTCGGGTCACAGATTTGAATGCCGAGTCCTCGTATCAAATATTCACTAAACGTTTGTGACTGTATTGAGATCGCTGCTGGAAACAACACAAAACATCCAACACACATAAAACCGAATGCTATCGGGTACCTGAAACAATATTACGGTTATTTTTTGCTTATTTTTGCCGATACTATTCTCACTGATATCTGATTCATCGATGCTTTGCTCTTTGACACTCGTTTCTGTATCTGTTCGACAAAAATAAAAGTGATCGAATAACCATTGAACAAAGCAGAGATATGTGAAATCAGCTCCAGATGTTCGAATGCTCGTACCCAGCTCAATGTAACACAATCCACCAAGTATTGATATCGATCCAGCAATCAACCATACCACCAATGATAATCCCACCTTTAAGTTCATCACATTACTTGACATATATTCATATCTGTTACTTGTTACTAGTACATCGAGCGGTTGTTTTGTTGGTCGCTGTGAGCGATCGGCGGAATATTTATTTCATAGAGTGATGATTATTTATTGGATTGGTATTTAGCAGCGTTTGATTATGCAAACTATTCACGGCAACTAATTAAATACTCGGTTGTGTTCACTTGGCCTGCTCGCCTAGCCAACCTGGTGGCGTAAATTAAGGCTAAAACAATGCGCACGGAAACGCGAGCATTGTGGCCAGCAACGTTACAAACGTTTGATAGCCTGGCCAATCCAGGTAGGTAATCCAGGTATATTACTTGACAACACAGTGTTCAGCGTGGGATGGAAATTAATTAAAAGAGTCATTGATTGTTCTGGGAATTCATTAGGATGTGCTCCAATAGATAGATCAACAATATATGAATGGTATTGTGCACGCAATTCAATATTAACTGTAGTTATTGAAATGAATGATAAAAGTTACTGATTCAGTGGTAGCGTAGACAACACCGGGCGATATGAAAATGCCAGAACCAACAACGTTGCCGATAATGTAGCTGATTGCACCGAGAATACCCATCTTGTTGCTCTCCTTTACCAGCTCCAGTTCCCCTCTGGATATCTGCGAAGTGAGGGTGTTGGATCGCATGTACTTTGAGGTGATGGTGTCGGATCTCATTTTCATTGAAGTGATGCTGTCGGATCGCATCTGCGATGAAGATGACTTCTTTCGATTGCTCATCCTGTAGTTTGCTTGATTTTTTAATGTGCATCTTGGACGTGGTGGAAGTGAGTTGAAATGAATCCAATCGATTCCTATTATTAAAAAATCGCTTTTTAACAGTATGTGCACATCATACACAAGATCAGTGGGTGAGTGCATGAATAACATGTGTATTATTGAACGGAGAATAGATTTTGGTCGGTGGGCACAAAATGGAATCGAAAAAAACAATGCAAAATCAGAGGGAAATTGATTTCGGTCCTAACATTCGGGATCATCAATTTTCGGAATCGAAATGGACTAACACTAAAAATTTGCCCTATTGGTGGCCACCAATAGAGTGCTCGCTCAGTGGCCAACAACAAAAAGTTCAGTCGGTTCCTACGCTCAAAACCTCACTTTATCTCTCTGAAATGAAGTGAGATTTTGAAGTAAGTAGTTTCAAAGAGGTGATTGAAAACGAAGAAAGATGCGAGTAATAATATTACTCGCATGATATATTAGATAATCATAATGGAAGTGGAGTGAGTGTGATCAATGGTGATGAAACGTAACGATTTTGGTGATTAATTTGAGACGTATACATAAATAGCATCAGCTGAAACGCAGATGCATAGCGATCACGTTCATAGTTGATGCTAAAGCATGTGACTGATAATAATAACTATGAACTTTTTATCATTCGATTAACATAAACATCAATTGTTTATAAATACGACGTGCTACAACGAATTTGAGAGTTACACTTCTAAATACATTCACATTCATGTCACTTCCCTTATCACTGCGTGTGATTTTGTTATTATTGTGCTGTGTGTTTGACTTCTGGGCAGTAGAAATATTATAGAAAGTTTATGAAAATAGCAATTGCTTGGATGATAACGGTTTTGATAAGACACTGACAAATGGATATTCAGTATTGCATTGATCAGATCATAAGTAGGATTTGAAAAATGCTGACTATTTTTCATTAGCCGGGATCGTTTTTGGGATAATCTCGGGTTCGTCAGTTTTGGAAATATGGAAGCGTCTATGTGTTCAATAAATTCCTTTTGAACCAATGCGTTCATAATCAATCAGAAAACAATTCATTCAACGAATCATGCAGGTGAGCATTTTAAAATCTGGATAAACAAAGCATCAACATTAAAAAGACAAGCACAATTCACATATAACATCAACATTTGAGTTTTTCGTGACAATATCTTAATTTTTTCTGTGAATGAATTCAATGGATTAATGTTCATTTGCTTATGTCTGAGATGGTGGGAACCCGAACATATTCCTCGACAAATTTTCTTTTGAAACTGTAAATGCTTCAAACTGATTAAAATTGTGTCTTATAGACAACAAAATTCCTAAATTAAAAATTATTAAAGTAATTTTCACTGTAACCTAGAACGGTCAACGAAAGCAAAATCATCAACATTGTAACCAATAAGATTGACATATTCAAAGGATAAGCTTTGAAAGTGAAAAATGGAAACAAGTTTGACATAACGGCAAAACATTCAAAGAATAAAATTCAGTGAAATTCGAAATAAACTTTGAGAAAGTGGGAATGTTGATTATTGAATCGCTCAATCGCATTCTCAGTTTTGTACACAAAAAAAAAAGAAAATGGAGAGACAGCTCGTTTACTTTCGATGTTTTTCGATGAAATCATTTCCATCGATCCCACAATTTTTACATATTCGCTGCTATTCCCTACGCTTTTTCGTACGAATGCATCTCGGAGACTATTCTGCGAATCATGTCGTTAATTCATATGAAATATTGGGAATTCAGCATGAATTCTATTTTCTTCGTGAAAGAAGTATCATGTTCATTTTGAATCAGTGGCCAGTGATGAGATGCACTCCGCGTGTCATCATCATTTTCACTGCTCACACCGAAAAGCGTTGAAGATAAATTCACTATCAAATCCACAGTATCTTCCTTCATGATCTTGTACCCTTTATAATTTCTTCCATTCCAAATAAACGATTTCCTTCCGAAAGAACGAACCATTTGCTTTTTAACTTTTTAACTTTGTACAGTTTACATTTCACAGTTTTGCTGTCTTTTTTTGCAACTGAAGTATTTATTCCCAGCGACGAGAACAATTACCGCATTCATTGCGCTTTTTAATATGTCTGGGCAAACTTGCATTGTTTGGAGGCACATTTTGAGAAACTGATGGACCATAATAAATGGAAGACAACGTAACGAAATATGAGGCAATTGATGACAATATTCACTTCTGTTTTGTGAAAAAAAAAAAAGAAACTGAGATGGCATTAGTATTCAATGATTCATCCATCCGTTAGCGCTTTGGTGGTAAACAACAAATGTTATTGTGTATGAATGAGTTGAGAATAATCAATTCGTGATTCTATGCATGAGTATACTAGTAATATCATACAAAATATTCTGTTTTATCAAATGCCGAAAATTTCCCAGAACCTCAATAGGAATTGGAATTCAAAAGTGAGCATCCCATAAAAACCATACTCATAAGATACTATTGTCAAATTACTAATATTCATAACTTACTGATATCAAAGCAATTAATTCACTAAATATATTCTACAAAGCGATTTGAATCATTCCGAATTATGATCGTTACTGAAAGTAGCAACTGAAAAAGATAGCGATAGGTATCTATAAACGAGTTGGGAACCGAAAGGTTTTTTCGATGGCCAACAACCGAACATTCTATTGGTGACCACTGCGATACGGTTTCCCGATGCCACTTTTGATAGGCTCCGTCCCGGTCTGCAACGACGACCACTAGCCTGACCCTTGGTAATAATAAACGATGAGAGGTACATATACGGAACACAATCAAAATCTGAAGAATATTGATCAGATGCTGATCGCCAGCGATTGTTCAGTCGCTTCGTCACAATATAAGTCCATGAATATGATCACCGTTCAAAACGAGGTTAATTCTCACGACTGAGCGCTTCACTTCACAAGAGCGTTCAATTCGTCGTCATTTTAATGCAACCGAATTCTTTCCAACCGCTATTATTATATTATCACCGCTATTGTTATCAACATTCGATATTACCATGTTCACTGTTACTATTATTATAATGGAACAATCACAATCCACAAAGAACAGCTTCTAATCAGAGATTATTTGCATTGCACTTTTGCTGCTAGATGAATATGAATAGGCGCAGTGAATGTTGCCTAAATAAACATTCCATTCGGCCGATTTGTCACGAGTTAATTCCATACTATACAATATCAAATGAAGTGCTTGATGAGGGAATGCAATGAGACGAGAATGCGTGAAGATGATGTAGTAACATGATAAGAATTATTCGAAAAACATTTGATGTTTGATTGGATAAATTCATTTTTATTCTTCAATACGTCAAACGCGCACACATATTTTCAATTCGAATTGCAAAAAAAGTGATCACTACTGCGAACGGTAAATGATAATTGTGTTGAAATGAATATAATAATCCATCAAAATCGCATGCAATTATACGAATTAGTTGTTTGAACATATGAATGCAATAGGAATAAAACGAGATTTTTTTTGTGAATTATTTGATGTGAGTTGTGCTGAATAATTATAACAATATATAAACACTGTGTACAATGATAAACTCGAAATATGTTATGTTTACAGTGCTTTAAACAATTTAAAGTATTTGAATGTGTTTTTGTTACGGCCGGATTAATGGTGCATATTCATGTGATTGAACATAAGTTGAGATGTCATTTGATTGCTGCTGAACGACATTCCATTTTAATTCATTTTTGTTTGCATGAATGTGCACTCAATTAGAAATTACTGCATAAGAAAAAAATTTTATGAGGCTGTAAACACATCGTCGACAGAGCACGGGACACGGACTGAGCGGAATCGAATGACATTCGAACGCTAATGATCACTATCACAACACAAACATCACAAATAGCCACCATCACATTGTCAACTATAACAACATTGGATACAAAATGTAAAAACTATAAAGATAATTTAAAGTCAGAGATCAACACGAAGCATCGAAATAAACGTGAAAAGAATTTCATTGTAAGTTGGCAACTGAAGTTATGAATAAATAGAACGCAAACAATTTCCGTACAAGACGATAAGTTAAATTTTAGTAGAATTGTTGATAAGAATTTATTGTTGACGTGATTGTATGTTAGCGATATCGTGTTTGACAACGGTTTGTGCAGCGGTGACCAGGTGCACGACACTGATACAAGCCTTCACGAACGCAACTGGAAAACACAGACACGTGAGCGTCGGCACCAGATATGCACCGAACAGCGCCGGTCCTGAGTAGAAGTGATTGATGTAGAGCAGTCCGTAGAATGCTTCGTTACCGGCACACATAAAGAACAAGAACTGACGAGATGTATAGTAGAGATGCAGAATGGGATTGCTTGACGCCTTCAATATGATCAACTTTTATTAACCTCAAACGTAACTATTCTATTCCTTCATCAATTTTCAGATGCTCAATTGTATGTTTTAAAATTCAGTGAAATTGTTTTCGAAATTCAGAATCGAATGTTACTATGAAATTAAATTCAATAAAACACTCAATCTCAATTAAAGTAAAAACTTAATGAAATCGCTCGTGTCATCAAATAATTCTATCGTGTCATAACTAAGCGATTCT